ATTTCATCATTCTGATCAAGTAGTGCGCTATTAACCTAAATAACATATAATATTATTTCATCATTCTGATCAAGTAGTGCGCTATTAACCTAAATAACATAAAATATCCTTTCATCATTCTGATCAAGTAGTGCGCTATTAACCTAAATAACAAAATATTCTTTCATCATTCTGATCAAATAGTGCGCTATTAACCTAAATATTCTTTCGTCATTCTGATCAAGTAGTGCGCTATTAATCTGAATAACATATTTCTTTTTACATGCAATTGGTCCGTAACTTAATGGATAGCCTGCTCGAACTGTGATTCTGAGAGTCATGGTTCACAGCCAATTACCGCTTAATCGCGCTCCGTGCTTTAGGGCCGTGCGTGTATTATAAGAGTAACTGTCAAATCCCACTATTTGGTCAAGCAAGAGTAGCCCAAGATTTGGCAGTGGTTGCTATTAACTAGCATCTTCCCCTCTTCTTTATCAGTTATAAATTAAGAATGACTAGCGCAGATAGTCCATTGTGTAACCTTACGTGAACATCGTGAAACAAAAACAAAACAATTACGCCCAACGTATACATACCGGATTATTTTGGCCAAAGATTTCAACAGTTATGTTTAGTGTTACAGTGTATGTACTTTCAACAACAGAAAGTTGAAGAACTCCGACTATTGCTTGCAGATGAGATTTAGATCCATCTCTGCGACCAAAAGTTCAACTATTCAAAGCACAAACCACGCCACCATCATGGGGCTGTGTTTTCTGGACTAGGCACAAAAACACTTTTGGTTGCATAGACAGTTTTATTCAGACGATACCAAAGTTTGTGTGATGAACGAAGAATTGTCAATCATTGTTGTTTAACTGGATATGGGAACGTTTCGAGAATGAGACTTCATTGACTGGTTTAGCTTTAATGAAGTAATGTGTGTATAGTTATAGTTATACTCGTTCTACTAGTCCCAAATATTATTTCCGGTAACCAATCGTAAATATGGATTTTAGTTTGATCTTAATGTTTGTTTTGTGCAAAATTATCGTTAAATGCCAATTTTTCATCTAATTAGTGGCTGATTAATGGGGCAGTTAAATCCATGTTATATTTATATATATATATCAGCGTACCAGTGTAATCTACACTTATTTCGTTATATTTATGGATTTCCCCCTGTTAAGTAGTTATACTTCGAACGCTCAACTCGATAGCAGCTTTAGCTTACACAGATAACTCGGCAATTGTCACACCCACAAGTACCCGAAATAACATTTCACCGGCGTATTTTTATGTCCTAAATCACAAAAATAAAACCGGTTTTGACCTCTGACACGAAGTAACGGAGTATTTCAACTTGGAGGTCAAAACCGTAACATTTTACATGTTAAGCTTACTAACAGTTTATCGGGTTCACAAATAATTACTTGTTTTCTGACCGATTGTTTCGGCTTTATGACTTTTTACTCAGGTCAAAGGGTATTTTGGATATTTAAAAAAAAATATTTGACAATTGTCAGTAAGTTTTGTTCAAATTTGTATCAAAAAATCTGTAAGATAATCGTTGGAGGAAGGGACCGAACTTCAAATTACAACAAAACATGTCGGCTTTCAGCGACGGGCTAAGCAGGCATTCTACATTTCGTACCTTCTACCGTGATATGGTTTGTTCGTTTGTAATTAAGCACAAAGCTACACAATGGGCTATCTGTGCTCTGCCTACCACGGGTATCGAAACCCGGTTTCTAGTGTTGTAAGTCCGAAGACACACCACTGTGCCGTAACCGTGATATGTATTTTGTTTTGATTATTGTTTATTTCCGCACTGTCATGGCAGCAACATGTGGTCCAGGGTGTTTAACATTATCTTGTTCTAGTCACTTCAGCTCTTTGTTTTGTTGTTAGATAATATCTTCAGCCCGTACGAATTTTTCAGTGTGCAGTTTCAGCCTGTTGAAACTGGAATATCCTTTGCTGGTCGAACTATGATGTTAAATGGATATGATAGCTAACCAGTACTGTCAGGTAACAAAGATCACGAGGTGACCCTGTCCACTGGACAAAGAAAGCGAGGTGACGTTTGAAATCCAGGCACAATTTCTTTATTCATTTCTCTCCTTGTTCATTTCCAATGAAAGTATGTTTTTTTCTTGTTTTTTTACCGCTCGTGTTTGGTATTGGAATCTTTTGTCTCGAGAGAAGGAAAACTTTAACATTAAACATTTACTAGGAAGAACTATCCGCTGGCATTTATGGGTAGGCGCACTAAACTTCCCTTTAGTGTTTAAATAAATAATTTGTTTATTTGTCTAAAACTTGTCCAGGCTATTTATTTTTACACTAAACATAACATTCAATCGAAATATCCCAGCGTACGTGGGTGTTTAACGTGTGTATATTAAATGTTTACCTAAAGTTTCTACGGGAATGAATCAACTAAATTGTTGGCGTGACAAATAATAATAATAATGAGAGAGTTGCAGTTAGTTAGGTATGAACAACAGCCAATGACAAGACATATACGAATGTTCATCAATAACGACAACTTTATTTTCTGCGCATATTTCTTTAACACAAGGAATCGCGAGCATCTTACTCGATCATTGTTAACGGAAAGCAAACAACAACAACAAAAAGACTCGTCACAGTATCAGTTACGGTATCGAGTTTGAGACCCGATTTCATGCGATTACTGAAACTTATATCGGAATTGATAAAAACAATTCCATTTCCTTTCTCCATCTTTACCGAAAAAGCATTATATTTTCTTTAACGATCTACTACCCAACTCGGGGCTTTACCACGTGATTACAACTTTTGTCTTTTTACAGGCGTTCGTGTAAAGCAGAATGACGAGAAAAAAAAACATGAACCACCGATCATTATAAAGTCGATTCAAGCTGGAAAATACATTCATCTAAAATATTCACACCACTGCCGAGATATTGCGTTTAACTGTATTATAAGTAATTCAGGCGTTATTCAGTGGCAATCTAGTAATTGTGTCAAATAATTAATAGAGTTTCGTGTGTAATATTAAATCTAGTCACCAAACATGCACGCTCTTTCAACCGTGGATGCGTTATATAAAATGTTACGGAGAATTCCACTATTAGTTAGTAAAGAGTGGCATAAGATTTGGTGGTAAGTGGTATTGACTAACTGTAACCTTGAAACTAGGAACGGCTAGAGCAAATATCCTTCGAGTAGTTTTGTGCGATATTCAATAAAAACAAACAAGGAATATAAAGAGTTGAATATCAAAATGGCTTATTTAACCTACTGTTGCGTCAGCGAGGTCTCGTGACTAGTGTCACGCCACCCGTTTTCTAGAACTATCCTGTTCCTTCGGGAGTGCTCTAGCATTTGCTAGATTGGGGGTGGGCTGGTATATATAAGATGGTGACAACGTGACGGGACAATGTGTGTAGTAGTGAGTAATTGAACTGCAGTCAGAAAGTATTGTTGAAGTTAACGTTCGTTGTTATAGCGTTTGTTATAGAGCGACTGTTGAAAATAAGTGTATCGGTAAAGTTATATTCAGAAATAATAAACCAGTTTTATTAAGAAAGAACTTGTGTCGCTAAAATTTCCTGGGAACGAAATTACGGAAAATCAACTAACGAATGGAGACGTAACACTACTTTAATTTCTTTTTTGAAACTATACAGTTATCAATAGATAGTTGATAATCTGTATTGTTACTGACGTAGTATTTGCCATGAATGCTTCAAATCTAATTCTTAAAAGAAAAATCGAAACAAATATTCTAAGAAAAATGCCAGACAAAATATTTTAACTCTATCTCACAAAAAGTCAATAACGAAGTATTTTTGAGGAAAGAAAATTTATCAAAGTAAGCTAATTGTTTAAGTCAGAACTAAGAATGAATATAATAAATTAATGAAGCCAGTTCTATACGTCAAATGGATATATGAAGTATATACACAAACGTATATACACAAAGGTATAATATAATAATTAGATCTTAATGAGTCATAAGTTGAGTACCCTTGCTGTTAATCACATTGTCGCCCATAAACCCAACAATATCTCTGGTGTCTCTGCTGGCTTAGGAGATTTGGATGAGCCCTAAATCCACATGCTAAGTTAATGAAAGTATAGTCTTCAGACACGTAAAATTTAATAACTAGATGTAGTTCCGAAGTGTTCTGTTTCAAAAGTAAATAAATCCAAAATTAAGAGTAACAAATATTTTTATTTCTTGCTTTTGAAGTTCGTATGTCATGTTGTTTGGTAGCCTGCCATTATTAGTCTCAAAGTGGGTTCCTCGTCATCGAACAACACACTACTGTATTGTAGTGCGAGTGGTTAAAACAGGTGACCCCTCGAGGCGGCCTTCGGTCCCTTTTCCGGGAAATAATAATCATATATATATATAAATACAAACAAAATCAAGTTTCCTATACATAAGTACACAGTGTATGTACGTGGGTTTGTCAGAGTGAACACTGAACCATAGTCTAAAATATTACGTCCACAAAGAGAGCGGGAAAATGTTGAAACACCAAGGGAAAACAAAAAACAGAAGAACTGAAAACATTTTCCATCAAAAATAAATTTTAAAATCCTATCACCATTTTTCAGAACATTTCAGAATCTTATTGCGACTTTTATGTTTTTATCCGTCACAACACCCAGTATAGAAATGACCACCCAAAACAAATGGGTGAAATCGTACATTTTCTGTGTAAAATATATAGGAAACCCTAGCGGTAATTAGCGAGATTAATTGCAATACTGGTGGTATTTTTATGTGACTTATATGCTATTAGGGACCTTGTTTTGTTTTTGTTAGGAGCAACGCTACAAAATGAGCAATCCGTGTTGTGCCCGCCGCGGGTATCGAAACCCAATTTTAGCGTTATAATCCCTCAGATTTACCGCTGAGCTACGGATGGGGACAGGGACATTATAATCAACAAAATCAATTTGATGCATAAGTAGTTTATAAAAATATGTTTAATAAGCCAATGGGGTTCCTGGACCCCATTAGTAATCCTAGGGAGCTGTGAATTTTAATATAAAATAATATGTATGATAAGTTATATCATGTTTGACAAGTGGTACCCGTCCTTTGTTCGGGTTATGAAATAAATGAATAAAGTGTGAGTTAATGCTATGATCAATAACACAAAAATCCTAACTTTCACACAATTTATTTACAACAAACATATTATTATAGTATTCATTATTATCTCACCAAAAGTTTTGTATAAGCTTTAAGAACTCACTATGTATATATTTAAAACATGGTACACACTGTGTAATGGTCAGAGTGACTTTGTACGAATAGGCATTAGCCAAAGTGGTGGCGGTAGGGGTGCTTCCTGTTATCTGCTTTCAACACCCAACTCGTAATGTCCTTCCACAGTGTTTTATGTGATTAATTAATTAACGGTCATTGCCCGTTTGTCTTACGGGCCGAAGTTGAAACGTCACGGGTTAAAGTAAGAAGTGGGTATAACTCAAGAAACGGCTCTTTATATCAGTCTTATGGTGGCTGTAGAAGTAGAAACTTCAGCTGAGTTTATGTGTTATTGCAATAGTTATTTCATATTTTCATTGCATTCTCCCAAGAGACAGTGCTAGCGCACTCTCTGAGATATATAAAACATTTTGCCCTTCCCCATATTTTGTGAATATTGTGTTATAGAAAATTAAATAAATTTTTTGTGTAAGAAGGTGGCGCCATCTACATATTTAGTTAATGTTAAATTACGTCAAAGACAATAAACGCTCTATAACAGCAATAATGGAGTGAAGGGGGTTGTGAACCTCCAATAACATGCTCCTTGTTCCTGACTATCATCCTACAAAGTTTGATTGAGATTGGCCTAGCGACGTAGGAGTAGTTAGATAAGGTACAAACATACAGACAAACAGTTTTTTTGTGCTCTCTCTATATAGATTCTATGAGGTCGGTAAGCATATATATAAGTGTGGTAGCACTTTTCAAAAATATAAGTATCAAAGAAGTACACATTTCAGAACCATGTAACGCAGCACGATTAAACTTGGCTTTACATTCACGTACAGGTTTTTCCCTTGGCTGTTTTATATAAGACTCTCCGCTCTCTGCTTCTTCAATCCAATGAAATAGATTTCTTATATGTTGAAATGCTGTTAAACTTTTTCGTCTTTTCCTTATAAACTTCTGTTTGAATATTCTTCAGTAAATGAAATCAATGGTCTATCACAGTGGGGCTCCCAATTTTACCAACAAATCTTCACTAATATAATCGTATATTATTAGTTTACCTAAAATCTAATCATCAAACTTCATTAGTACAGAGGTCGTGATAGAGAGATAATTACGTAAATAAAAAAAAAACAACAACAACAACAAAAAAAAAACAGTTCATGACTCTGTATGGATGGTGACTTTTTTAGCATTAGTACACACATTGTTCACCTTCATCCTGGGTATAGATTTGTCTACCTCTTTATTTGTCTGTATTTTTATTCATTAACCGTTTCTTTAAACGTAGAAAATAAGTTAATCATGTATGTTGGACGATTGGTTGAAAAATGGACCTCTTCACTTATAAAATCAAGATGCTATTTTCATCCTTTAGATTGCTAAATTCTGAAATGGGTTTCAGAACTATCCCGTTGTATTAATTTTTGGTATTTCGGTTTCTTTTATGAAGAGTAGTAATTTTTTCCCCAATTGATCACCAGATGGTAGCCCCCCCCCTCCAGTGGCACAGCGGTATGTCTGAGGACTTACAACGCTAGAAACCAGGTTTCGATACCCGTGGTGGGCAGATCACGGATGACCCATTGTGTAGCTTTGTGCTTTATTTCAAACAAACACCAGATGGTAGCTTTTCTGCATAGTTATGACTATTCATTGAATATGTATTCTTGAACATTGGTGATACTTACATGAAAATGTGCTGTATTAGAATTGGAATGTTAAACGTGAACGGTATTTTATGTGACAACATGAACTAAACAGCCAAGTCAGAAACCCGGCCCTAAAGTTGAGATATGGCAGTCCCTATATTTGATCTCCAGACTAGAGGGAGGGTAGCCAATCAGCAGTACTCGCTTTGTTGGATTCTTTGAACCGAATAACGAGATTTACTTTTACTTTTATAATGCACCCACAGCTGAAAGTGTGGTGCGTATTCAGAGGCATTACGGCTCAAACCTTGGACCTTGAGATCTGTAACCCGGCACGCTAACTTTTGGGTCACGCCTGTTTTGTTTTTGTCATATAGGTTCACGCAGCTTATTGAATAAGCATTAAAAGTAAAAAGAAAACACAGTAAGCCAGAGGTGTCTATATTTGTATTGTTAAACTGTCCTGTAAAAAAATGCGTTCATCAGTGTAGAATTCATGAAACATGAGATCTTAGCTTCCTCAGAAAAAATTGTAAAACAAATAAATAAAAAAGTGACATATACACGTGGTTTCAGCTGCTAATGTGTTGTAGATTTCGTTAAGCGGATATGAAACTATGTAAACACATATGGGATTTATGAAACGCCAAATCTGTATAGACTACGGAGTTATACATTGTTGTGATACTGGAGTAATACAATGGAAAAGGTTTTAAACATACCTCCGTGTATGGCCTTAACTTCTGGTTCGTCTTTGATATGAGCTGTCGTTCCTGATGATGGTATCTTCATACTTGTGTTCACACAGCGAAAAAATACTTGTACCAGAGTCTCTTTATCACTAATATCAATAGAGTTCTTTTAACACATCTCCCCTTAATCATGGCGTCTCAGACGAGTTAGCTTGCACTGCATGGCACTGGCAGTTGACAGTCATTGCTTACTGCATACATAGTGAGCTATTAATGCGCGTGCGTCAAAAGAAGTGCGTAAAGTATAATCTCCATGGTAACCACAACAGATTCCAGGAATTAAAATCAATGTTGTCATGTCACTCATCAGGATCACATATGGCTAGATCTTAAAATGTCACTTAGATTAAGATATCAATAATGTATTTAAAGGATATTAATGTCAAATACGCGTCTAATAGCTTAATCAAGTGAAAAAGTGATGATTTGGTAATGAATTGTGTGTGAGGAGTAGGACTGTTACATAATCAGATTAAGAGATATGGCAAAATAGCACAAAATGCTGTAAGTTTTACATCTATAGATATGACATTGAAGAGGGAAGTAGGATCCGTGTAATAACCATTGTAGTGTTTGAACCTTGACCTCGTGGTGTAACTCGTCTAGCGTTTTAATAGAAAATACATTTACAGTCAAGGAGGAAGGAAGAAGTTTTGATGACACCTGACCCTCCCAGGTCACAACGAACACGAACAAGCGCTAAGGCGTCAGGGTCATTCATCACTTTTTTTTTAATCTGTAGAGACTTTACAGAAAATCAATAGCTTCTTAAGTACATTTTTCGTGGAGATTTGATTTTTCTGATCGTGAAAGTTCTTTCGTCGCTCTTTTTCGATTTTTTATAACATCAGTTTTCATGTTTCAAAAAACCCTTTTGTTTAAATTGTAGAAGATTTTACCACATATATTTCAATGCTATTCTAAGAGTAAATCTCGAGTTAAAAAAATACGGTTAAAGAGGAGTTAATAGGACGTTTCTCAAACTTTTGAAAAAAATTTAAACTTAACGTATCAGTCACAAGCTCGCTTTCAGACTCATAATACCTGTATATGGTTTTACACTGAAATAAAATGAACACGAGAAAAAGAAACAAGAAAGCGAAAAGGAAATACAGAGAGCGAGAGGCATGTATGTTTGTTTTGTTAAACTGTCTTGTAAAAAAAAACATTTTTCTGTTAAGCACATATTAGTGTAAACTGTGCGAAACAAGAATTCTTAGCTTCCTCATAAAATTATTTTATTTGTTTAATGGTTTTGTAGTTTTTTCATCCCAACATATAACCAGATGACACCTTATCTGCATAAAACTGAGTAATTATTGAATAAATTATATCGTTTAAGATTAGATATATTTTGGAAATTGGTTTATGTATACAAAAAAAATGTTGCATTGAATTAAAAAAGTTGTTATAATGTTTTTTCAGTTTTTATTTTGGTTTTCATCATCTTATAAATTACCTGCATCTTCAAAATCAAAAGAAAGTAATTTTGCATGTAATTTAATTTATAATGTTAAAAGTGGAAGAGGAAGACCAAATGAAATCTGGCTTTATGTTCCACCCCACGAAGAGGTTAAATAAATAGCAAGAACCTATAGCAGCTGCTTTTTAGCAGAATTAACATCTGAGCTCGTTTTAAAGACAGTCCCTTTATTTTTTCTTAGAGCCTCGAAGAGAACCATTTTGCCATTATAAATCTGTTGTATTTTCTAATAATGAACACCAGAAAGATGGTACCTTCTATCAACCATGTATATCCTAAGCACTTTCTGAAATAAACAACTTGTAGTTTGTACTTTGTTTTTATATTGTGATGCCATAGTTTTCAGGACTTTTTTTTTTGTGGAAATTTCTAGTTACACATTTTTGGAATATTTTATTTATACATTCTTCGAGAAAATGAACATTTTATACTAAATAGAAGAGAAACTGGACACTCTGTCTCTGCTCTTCCTTAGGCTGCCTGAAGCATATGTACTCGACTATTGACCTTTGGAAATAAATTTATCAATAAAATTATTTATATCTTTCAGTCTGGATCGTGGGATTGCCCCTGTGGTAGACCTCTGAATTTCAGAACTGATGAGGCGGGTTCGAATCTGTGCGATATCAAAAAATATTCCCTGTACTTTAAGCTGTGGTGTGTTGATTTTGCTGACTGGCTGCCTTTTCCTCTGATCACTAAGTAAAAATTAAAAATAGCAGCAGTTAGCAAACTTTTTCACTCCTTTTATTTTTTTCATCCTAAGCTGTTTATCACTTCATCTATTCAATAAGATTGTCAAGGAAAATTTGAAAAGTCATAAGTTTGCACCAGTCCTATATCTTTGTAAATTGTTATGTACTACAGTAGTTACTCTGTAACGGCTCGTACTTGTTCGAACCTTTTCTGTATTATCGCTCTCCACAAAGATTTGTGCAAGTTATAATGAGCTGGAGTTTGTTTCCTTGGAATACTCAATAGGAATGATAGTTGATATGGATAATATAGAATTGGGGGATATCGCATGAGAAATGTTCATTCCAACTTTTGTCTCCCGATGGGACAGCTTCAAGTTTACGAACTTACAATGCTAAAATCCGGGATTCGATTCCTCGTGGTTGATAGATCGCAGATAGTGTTATAAGCCCACATCCTTACCGCTGAGCCGCGGGGGGCTGTTCAGGTTTCACATCAGTTCCACATTATTTACGCAAAGTCATAAATAGAGCTATCTGCGGATAGTCGTCCCTAATTTTGAACTGGTAGAGTAGAGGGGAGGAAATTAATTAATAACATCTATCACCAACGTTTCGGCTACTCTATCTGACTGATTTACGTGGTTTGACTGTTACTCTTGTAACGCACCTAATGTCCCAAAGTGCACAGCGGATTTTTGCGCAACAAATTCACTGGCTGAACACGTTTACTACCAGGCCATTCTCGATTAGCGTGTTTGGGAAAATCTATCTTAAAAAGGGCAAGGGAAAATGGTATATAGGTATTATTTTTTCAAGCATATTTAGTATTATCATTATTTTTATTTATGAAAACTTTAGACGTTCACAGTTTACAAATCATTTAATTTATTTTTATTTTTGTGAAGAAATCTTTATTTTTCTCTTAATATATTTTTTCGATTTTGTTTGTGAACAATGTAAAATAATAAAAATGAAATTGTTGTCGTGGTTAGTAGCTTGTATACTATTCACATTGTTGAATTATCGAAACGATTTATAGCTTTCTACAAACACTGGTATTCAATTTATTGTGCTACAGATTCGTCCTCGCGGTGGCTTAGGGGTAAATCTGAAGGCTTATTCGAGTTTCGGTATCCGATGTGAGCCGAACAAAGATAATCCATTATGTAGATTTGCGTTTAAAAATAACAAAGTACAGATTGAGTGACAACATCCGAGGTCATTTTATTATTTTTTTTGCGATTTATGGGGGCGCCATCAGCAGATGATATGTCCCCAATTTCACCGATCTGATCTAGTTGAACTAGATACATTTGTCATTCTGCCATTTAGCATTAAGAAAAGTTAGTAGTTACATATACATACATTATTATTATTACTATTTTTATTATTATACTTTTTTGTTTTGTTTTTATTGTAGTTAATTGTGTGACACTAAAAATCCTACAAGGTCATGTTATTGAAATAATACATAAGGAAAAAAGTTTACATAGTTAGTTCTTCTCGACTGGGGGCGACTCCAGCCATTGGAGACAAGGACAAAAGAAGTAGCCCTATTAGGAAAAAGAAAAGGACATTAAATTTTTATGTTATTTGTTATAACGAAGTTATATATTACAGGATAGAAACAATTCGTAGTCAATAAAGAGAGGTAGGTAAAAGGGACTTTTATGTTACCCATCTGTTGTTTTATGGCTGCTCGATCTCTTTGGTAATATATACATTCCATGAAAGCGTGTTCTGGGTCTTCAAAATTTGAACAATGGCTGCATTCACCATTTGGGTGTACTTTTATTCTGTACAGATGTCCATTTAGACCTGTGCAATTAAATCGGAGGCTTGTAATAATAACTTCTTGGTGTCTGTTCGTACATTCATACTTGATGTGAGAAGAAACAACAGGAACAATTTTCTTGTAGATATTGGAATGTTGCACGGAATTCCATCTACACTGCCAGGAATCTAAAATGAATTGATAAACTTGGCCATAGAGGTCACCAAGTTCTATAGAAACGTTTGTGACCCCAGGATATGCTAACGCATTCTTGGCAAGATGATCAACTATCTCATTTTCCTGGATTCCTATATGGCTAGGGACCCAAAGAAATTTGATGACCATACGGCGACGTAATCGGACAAGGTATATAAATATTTCACTCAGTAACATTGGGTTAGATGAAAAGGAACCGTTCTTAATTGAAAGTAATGAACTTAAAGAATCACTGACTATCAGAGCTTTCGTAACCTCGGAATCTTCCAGCCACAGAAGGGCTTGTAAGATAGTAAACAGTTCAGCCTTATATACAGAAGCAGGTGCAGTTTTAAATGCTTTTCTGATTTTGAGATTGTTTATATAAAATGCTGATGAAATAAAACTGGTAGACTTGGAGCCATCCGTAAAGATACTAGTATAGTCTGAGAAACTTGTTAGTTTCTATTTGGTCAAGGACAAAAGCAAATAATTTTACTGCCGTTTTTTACTAACATAATGAAAACTGACGTCGACATCAGGGGTTGGAGTCTCTCAAGGAGGAAAGTGAAAATATTGGTATTGTTGCGTCAGCGAGATCACGTGACTAT